ACTGGACCACGTGCGACCCTCAGTCTCATTTCTGCAACCACCAAGCCTCTTGAAATAACGCTACTGATAATGGAACAGCAGTGCAATTTTGGTTGTTTGGAGGCACGGGGAACACTTATTGCAACGTAATTTTAACAAAGCATGGTTATAACAAATCCTAGCTTAGCATGATGTATGTGCAAACCCAGGCATATATAAATAAGATGACCATATGGTCGTTTCTCCCTGCTGGATAATAGATCAAGATTAACCCAAATGAATCAACTGTCTGATTTTACAATGGGACAAAAGTATATTTATATATGACCCAGCTCTGTCTGGTCTTGGCAAAGCCACGTCTACCTGGAGAATACCTTGGATGGATTTCAGCTCCAAAGGAGCTAGTCAAAGAAATTTGAGAAGTTAAGCAATGGAAGGCATCACGCATTCTTTAGCCCCCCAAACTAAACCTGGAATTCTACTCTGACAGGATAAGGGAGACAGAAACACGTAAGCATACGGGTCTGGGGCCATCTCTTGGGATGAGTAAATATAGTTCTTCCCACGCACGCCACAGCTTTCCTGTGGTCGCAGGATCAGATGCTATATTTTTGTAAAAGTTTCCATGCCTCACTTCAGGCCAATGGGAGAGTTTTTGGCAAATGGTCAATCTACAGCAGTTAGACACCACAAGTGGGGTGGGGGGAGTCACTCATTTTCCCTTCCTTAGCAGATTTTGCCTGCATGCCTTATTAAAAATCCATCCACTGCTTGGTCGCTACAGCTAACAAGCAAATATTCTCAGGGGCACCCTTCTTCCCTCTTTGGTGGATTTCATGGTTTTGGAAACATTGCTGCCGATGTGTTTGGCTCATTGTACATGAGGCTTAAAAGACCCTACCTCTTCTTTTAAGCCCCAGTTTTCTAGACTAAGAAAGAGTTTGCTGGGTCAAAGCAGCTCCGTCATCCTCTGTATCCAAGCTGTGTTCTTCTGATTAACAGAGAGCTGATTAAACAACAGGTAACAGAATAACAAAGTTGGAAGGGACCTTGGAGGTCTTCTAGTCCAACCCCCTGCAGAAGCAGGAGACTCTGTACCATTCCAGACAAGTGACTGTCCAGTCTCTTCTTAAAGACCTCCAGTGATGGAGCACCCACAACTTCTGGAGGCAAGCTGTTCCACTGATTCATTGTTCTGACTGTCAGGAAATGTCCCCTTAGTTCTAGGCTGCTTCTCTCCTTGATTAGTTTCCATCCATTGATTCTTGATGATTAAACAGTTCACTGATTAGTGATGAAATAACGATCCTTAATCAATTCACTGAATATTCAAATTAAGCTGGATGATATTCGACCACCGCTGTGGAATTCAGTAGAAGCTCTGCCAAGTGGGTAGGATAGCCAGAGATACTTTAAAATAGAATTTCTGAGTCACTGCAAAGAGCACAGTCATTCCAAATATGCCACCTGACAATTGTCAACAAACCTTTAGTCTAGCCCAGGGGTAGGCAACCTTGGCTCTTTTATGACTCGGGGACTTCGACTCCCAGAATTCCTGAGCCAGCATGGCTCAGCTTGGAAACCTCTCCCTTTCCCCTCAGCATAGCTGGCTCAGGAATTCTGGGAGTTGAAGTCCACGAGTCATAAAAGAGCCAAGGTGGCCTACCCCTGTCCTAGACCATTCTGGACAAGTGGTTGTCCAGTCTCTTCTTGAAACCCTCCAGTCATGCAGGACCCACAAGTTCTGGGCACAAGCCATTCCACATCCCATACTGATACTGCTTTTTCTAAGAATATATTAGCTAGCCTCAGATCTGGCACAATAGTTGTCCCTTTCATTGACTCTAAACTGGGGGTGCCGAACCCATGAGCCACGCAGCTGTTGTTCCTCTGTATTTACAGCTTCTCCCCAGTGCTAGCATCACTGCCCCAGCTCCACCTCAGATCATCAGGCATTAGATTCTCATAGGAGCGCAAACACTACTGGAAACTGAGCAGGTGAGGGATCTAGGTGGCATGCTCCTCCTCCCTCTCTTCCCATCTGTGGAAAAAGTGTTTTCCATGAAACCGGTCTCTGGTGCCAACAAAGTTGGGTGCCGCTGCTTTAAGGAGTGGACTTTTTAAAAAAAAAATGTTCTGCCTTCCTTGGTGACCCAGTTCACCCATGAGAGCATAAGCCCTGGTATCACTGCATCAGTAGCACTGCGTAAAACCTAGGTGGCGAGAGCAGAGTTCGCCAGCACTGTGTGTTGGGGGCATCCCTCTCCTTTTCCTGCCATTTGGGGATGTTGACTTTTGTGTCCTCTTCTTAGCCGAACTTGCGTTATAAACAGCGGATGGTCTATTGGCCTAGCAAGCGGAGTCTGCTCATTGCGACCGTAAGAAAGAGATCCTGCTTTTAGCTTGGACCGATTCAGCACTGTGCATAGGTTTCCAACACCAAGCTGGAGCCGAATAGGAGAGAGCAATTTCTGCATTCCACAGAGGAGGCTGTGTGACAACTGTATTTATGAATTCTACAAACACGACGACTGTATTTCTCAAGAAGGCTGACTCAACCCCTTCCCTGCAGAAGGTGGTAAAGCAGACATCAGACGTTCCCTTGAGGCTAGTGGCCTGGAAATTGAATGCCAGAGGAATTTTGAGTGGAAAACGAATAAGCCATGCCCTTTCTGAGGTCTTTGATCCTCTTAGTATCTAGAGTAGAACTCTCTCTGGCTCATCTGCTCCTCTCTCAGAACCATGAAGAACGTCGTAGCCAGAACAATCTAGATGAAAAACAAAACTGCCCGTTCCAGTCAGATTCCCCAGACAATAAAATAATACTTTTATTCAGATGGAGCAAGATGGCCTGTTCTCAAGAGTTTCCAAACCTTTTTTTAGGGCTTTGAGTAGCATGCTTTGTAGCCCTGGTGGAACTGCACTGTGGTGTTCACCCTAGGGTTTGTGGCAACCAGCCCACACTGAGCCTCCGCGTCCCTCCACTTAGGAGCACAATGAGACTACTCTCAAAGCAAGCCAAGCATCTGGCATTTGGCTTAACAGACACACAGTTTCAGGACAAAAATAAAACAGGCCTCGTTTCAATCACGTGTAACTAAAATTAGATGAAAAGGCAGAGAGAACTGCTTGCAAGAGGGAATCGCGGTGACTCAGAAAATAGAACCAGCCATGGAAAGGATGAATTGTATCATGCAGAATGGGAAATAACCCAAAGGAAGCGTCACCTCCTTGGGTTTAAATGCCATCCACCAGTGCTTCCTCATTCACTCAGGATCCAAATCGGTTTTCTGCAGTTTGCCACTGAAATTATTTCTCTCCCTCACATTCTGCTTGAACTTCATAAAAGCGGCAAATGAAACAATAAAGAAACAGGCTTCAGATCAATCCTGGAACATTCTTAGGAGTGGTCCTTCTTTTAGTGATGGGATGAACACTCTGGAAAAAGAGGGGGGGGTCAGCTATAACTTCTCCCTTCGTCCCAAAACTGAAATCCCATTAAGTAGGACCACAGTTTTCCCAGACTAAGAGAAGTTTGAAGGTACTTCATCTATGCAGACAATACCAGAAATTGCTTTGGTACTGAGTTTTAAAATAACGAGGGGGTTTTTTTGGGGGGGGGGGTTTACTTTCTATTGCTACAGTATTTTCAGGTCTTCCATTGATGAAGTTCATAGTATACAAGAGAAATGCCTTGGGCTAATTTTGCTGATGACCACAACACTGTGGAGTCATCTAGAGGAGCAGTAGGCGTGAGCTTAAATGGACTCCAGAAGATGGTAGAGACAGGAAGGTCTGGAGGAACGTTGTCCATGGAGTCGCGATGGGTCGGACACGACTTCGCAACTAACAACAACAACAGCAAAACATAAATAAAGAGCTCTCCTCCTGTAGCTGGTTTTGCAGAACATGCTAACCCTTTTGTGGCTTTTGTGGCTTTGCGTAATGTATGAATCCAGCCTACTGGATCAATCAGCCACAGTTAAGCAAACCACACCTTGGCACAGCAAGCAGTTCAAGGCATTGGAAGAAGTCCATTTGGAAAGCCATGAGCCCACAATGTGAGCTCCATGAATAGATTTGAGTTCTGCCTTGGCTAACTCTGTTTCCAAGTCACTCCTGTGACTTCATAGATAAGAAGGCGCTTAATCTATGGTTGCTGATGGGGGAAATGGTATTCCTCCTTTTCTGCATAGATAAGCAAACTGTTTTGAACTGTTTCCCTTTTGAAACTAGTATACCAATATATGCAACATATTCATTTTCACTCTCTAAAGAAGGACCCACTGGAGAAGGGCCTAATGCTGGGAAAGATGGAGGGCAATAGAAGAAGAAGGGGACGACAGAGAAGGAGGTGGCTGGATGGAGTCCCTGAAGCAGGAGGCGTGAGCTTCAATGGACTCCAGAAGATGGTAGAGGACAGGAAGGCCTGGAGGAACGTTGTCCATAGGGTCGCGATGGGTCGGACACGACTTCACAACTAACAACAACAAAACATGAAATTTACTCAATCGCCTTGGGTGGTCAAAAACTTAACTTTACAAGGTCACCTTGATGACGGCACAAAATGATGCAAGTCACCTTAGTAAAAGACTTTGGGTTATGTTCCTTTCCTTTGATTTTGAAAAGGGAAAAAATAAACAAAAAATCAAGAACAGAGGTCGTCAAACTAACAACAGTTCCAATTCAAAACCAATTAATTTTTTTTTAATGCATTTTTCACATCTGGTCTGGCCAAGTTCAGTTGCTTGTTACCCAGTTCAGCTCCATCCTATTATTTATTACCACTGGTCTGATTGGAGATAATCATTGTGTATATCTGAAGGGAGACAGCCTGCCTTGCTGTCTCCCTTCAGGATAGCATCTCCTTGTTCCCAGTTACTGACGGCTGATGGTTGGTCTTCAATCTGTTAAATTCATTTATTCAGCAAGACTCATAAATTACGTCTTTCCTCCGAGTAGCGAGACATTCCAGTGACACAGATTCCCCAGGAGCACTCAATCATACATGGCTATTGGACATGGACTATTTTGATGAAGATCTTTCCGTAGGTTTTATGGTTTACTTTTCTCCCCCAGGGTCTAGGTATGCCCCTGAAGAAAGTCAAACGGACGATAACGTGTATCTTACGGAAGCCGCCAGTGTTCCTGCTCCAGATTATCAAGGTACCCACTGCCATTCTGAGCTTTATTGTTCTGAGACCCCAACAGGGTCGGATCTGGCCTTTCCACCTTGTTGGAGTATACCTTCTTTGTGGTGTCATCAAGAGATAATTGCAAGGAATTAAATTGCACGTAGGTTTGGCCATTTAAAGTTTTTTGCAACATTGCGCTAAGTGATATTGTCATCAAGTAGATCTATTAGGGGACACATGATTAGGCTCCTAAAAGCATGAAGCTGGCCTTATTCCCAAGTTTACAATGTTGGGGTGACTTTCTCTTATAGCTGTTGATGATGTAAGTTCTCACTTGGAATTTCCTTCTTGGAAGAAGACCAAAACAGGACGGTTGCTCAGAACCACCATCAGTAGACTTTCTTCCTTTCCCAAGACTAACCTCCTGGCCAGCCATGGGATCCTCTGGGGACCATTAGTAGCTACAATTTGTGCTCCAGCAGAAAAGTAGAACTGATCTTCAGAATAGAAACTAATAATCCAGAAAAAAGTCATTTACTGTGGTTCTCAAATTTAGGATGAAATGTCTAATTAGAGACAGATGGTTGGGGAAATATCAAAGCTATAGCCAATTCTTTAGATCTTTATTTTCGGACCGGGGACATTTTTAAAGAAGGAGAGAGATCTATTTAACAGGCGGGGAGCACCTTCCACTTATCACTACATCACACCACGTCTCCACATATTGTGGCCAGGAGTTTGCTCCTTGATTAGCCTATAGACATGATTCATAGACTCAGTCAAATCCACTATCTCCTCTTGCAGGAATTTCTGGTCAGAATAGACAATAAACCGAATAGAGTGCAAGGAAATTATGGTGATGGGCAATCCTTCCTCTCTTTTTCTAGTGTTATGGTGAAACCATTATCTACTTAATTTTATGTACAGTACATTCTACCTTTTCCAATTTCTGCTCCATCCATAAGTTGCAATGAAATGAAGCTATGCCAGACAAACAAAGAACCAAACAACAAGCCGTTATTAATATTAGTTGACAACGTGGGACACAATGGACCTACACAGGATGGGAAAGCATGACTTGGCCACTACTGAAAAGAAGGCCTCGTTTTTCACCTCCATCTGATTGTCAAAGCTGGAACAGATAATTCTACAGGAGCGAGTGATGCCTGAGATCATAAAGAGATTTTCTTTACTAGCTTCACTTTTTCTCTCTCTAGTTCCTCAGTGGTGTCATCCATTAATCATTTACAATGGGGAGGCCACCTGCTATTCACCCCGTGGAGGAAATTACCGCAGCAGCCTGGGGACACGCTGTGCCCTCTCCTGCAACCGTGGGTATCGCCTGATCGGTCCAAGGTCTGTGCAATGCTTATTGAACCGCCACTGGTCTGGGATTATCTACTGCAGACGTGAGTATTCGCTCAGATTCCCCTCTGAAGTCAGTCCCCACCAAAACCAAGATAACCCATGATCAGTTGGGTGTGTATGTATCCAAAGTTTGAGGTTTTGCAAATCAAGCAGACAAGAGTTTGGCTTATGGATTATAATAGCCCTTAATTTATGCCATATGAGAGGTTGGGAAAATAGCCCAGATTCACACACTATGATATCACTATGGATATTTAAAATCATACTATAGCTTAGCATAATGTCTGGACAAGATCAACAGATTCTTTAGAAAAATACTCAAACTCATCCTTTTTCCAATCTTTCCAGGAATATGTTGGCCTACATTTTCATTGTAGAAGGACTAGTCTCTTGGCCTTTTGGGAAAATTGGATTAGAGCCCCCGTTTAGAGAACCGTGCCACCAAACCCTTAAAGGACAAGATTTAAGCACTATGCAACTGGATGAAAATTTCAGCCAGTCAATTTTGCCTAACTCCTGGAAGAAATTTCTCTAATAATGGTCTCTCTTCCAACTATAGAGTGAAGTGCTAAACAGCCTTGAACTGATACTACATTTTCATTACAAAGTGAAGGCTTTAGCTCTGGGTGCAAAACATCCTGAAAAGCAGGGAAGAGGCCATCAAGGAGGTATTGCAACAAAAAATTAGGACCTGGTTCAAGTTCATTGTAGGAGATGAACAAGTTGAGCCTGAGGGCGGGGTCAAATGCATCATCAGTCTGGAGTCTCTACGCCCCCTTAAGTCCAGCCCTCCAAAAAAATCCGTTGATTTTTTTTTCTGGCACCAATTCGCCTTCACCATTAGCAGTTCAGATTCTTGTTTACAGTTGCATGAAATAAACTTGTAGTACTTTTTAATTCCATCCTGGTTTCTGACTTCTTTGCAGCCAACATTCATTGAGCGATGCTGGCCCAATTGTTCGGTCTCAGTGCAGTCTGTTTTATAGCAATTGGAGAGGAGACTACGGATTGCTTCTAAAGTGGGATATAACTCAGTAAATAATGTTTAGATTCTATCTCGTTGCAGAGTTGCGATGTCATACGTTGCCAGCACTTCAGCATGGGTCATACCAATGCTCCAATGGAGTGAAGGTTGATTCTCACTGTGACTACAGTTGCCAACTGGGGTATCATCTGGAAGGTGATCACAGGCGTATGTGCATGGAAGACGGGCGCTGGAGCGGTAGCGTGCCAATTTGTGTAGGTAAATTCTCACCCTTCCAGGGCTGTTCTCTTTTCAGCCTAAGTCCAAAAGGAGATGTCAGCTTGGCCCTCCTACAGCTCATAAATGTGAAACAGTTGCTCCAAACTGGAGCCGAGCATCTTTATTTCTCCAAAGCCACCCATGTCTCAAAGGTGCTTTTCCAAAGACAACTAGACTTTCTTGGTTTTTTTTCCTCTTGAAAACATTTTGCTTCTCATCCGAGGGGCTTCTTGGATGAGAAGCAAAATATACTGCTCACAAAAATAAAGGGAATGCAAACCCCTTCAGTTCCATGGTAAAATGTTCCCTTTATTTTTTTTGAGCAGTATATTTTCAAGGAAAACACCCAAGAAAGTCCAGTTGTCAAAGCGTGGGAAAATCAGGAATCCAGGCAGTTCAAATGAATATAAAGATTTGTTGCAAACTTAAGCTCTCTACAAGAATCTGAAATACTAATGGTCCAGATAAGAGTCAGTTGAATTCAAGGTGGGCTGAGCTTAGATCTCTTGTAGGCGTGAAGGCACTCAAGACTGATGACACGTTTGACCCCTCCCTCGGGTTCAGCCTGTTGCCTTTTGGAAAAGCACCTTTGGGACGACCATGACTTGGATGATTGAGAATCTCCACGGATTCTAGTATATAAAAGCCAACAGTGATGACTGCTGGGCTATGACTATTTTGGGAGGATGCTGAATATCTACCGTATCATTCTTTTCTGTTCTCCAAATCCATAAAAACAGCTTTGAGTTGGCCAGGGTCATCCTTAAAATCATCAACCTCAAAAACAGAAACACCATATGAAGCAATTGGTGGGCTCGCTCACTGATCCAAGAGGCACAACATTCACATTGTCCTGCCCAGCAATATTTATTCTAATTTCGTTTTTTTAATCCTTAAAATATCTGAGTGTTGGCCATTGGGGAGAGCTGCGAAACCATCAAGACACCATTCCTTTGTTCAGCATAAAGGCAATCCTAACTCAACAACCGTTTTGGCACCAGTGATGCAGTCAATAAGCAAAACATCCCGTGATTATGATAGGCTGACGCCACTGCCCATTCAGTCATTAAGCAAGTCACTGCGGATCATTCACTGAGAGGTCATGTGATCTCAACTTGCCATTTTACTGCCAAGCAGGCGGCCGTTAAACAAGGTGTCTTTGTATTGAAACAGCAGGGAAATTATTAGCCATTCTGTTGCCTGCCTCTTTCCATGAAATTCTTCCCCCGTTTTCCCCAAATAGACATAGAGCCTCCTCAAATCCGGTGTCCAGATTCTCGAGAACGAATAGCAGAGCCTGGCAAACTGACCGCCGCAGTTTATTGGGATCCACCCCGCGCAAAGGATTCGGCTGATGGCGTCATCAAAAAGTGAGCTCAGTGGGGACACGGAAGGGTTCAAGGAAGTCTGCTCTGTGGTGATCCTATGCTGAAAGCCTCTCTGTCCTTGGAGTTCAGACTGAAACGCCGGGGCCCAGAGCCAGGATCCGAGTTTTCAGAAGGAGAGCACCTTATTCGCTATGCTGTCTATGACCAGGCGCACAATCGAGCCACCTGCAAGTTTTTGGTGAGGGTCCGAGGTGAGGAACGAGAGGGCATTCGTTGCCCAAAATACCCTAAAAGAAGCATGGTCTAAAATTTGACAGGACTTCCCTTTTTCCTTCAGGCTGCTATCATTACCAACATCCCTGTGGTCATGTGTTTTGTGGGGTCCCGTAGTTGGATTCGTACACCGTGTTAAGGTATAGCATGATAGAATAGACTACTAGTAGGGTACAGTGAAGATACTGGAGTAGGCAATCCAGCTAACAGGTCCATCTCACTGATGGAAGATCAAGGGTGACTTTAAGCTTCTCAAGAACTTAGCCCGTATCTCATAGGATTATCACTACCAGGGAAAAATGGAAGAGAGAGTGCTTTAAACACCACCTTCTAAGGGAAAGGGTGTGTGAGAATGAAGACACTAATAAAATGGTTGATTTGGTTTTGGCCCGCCCAGTAGGAACCCAACCTGATATTTGTCAGGAACCCAAACTGACATTGGTAGCTTGCTTGATCACACTTTCCGTAAGTTACATATTTCAAGAGATAGAATATGACTAGAGGGAGTTGCCTGTAACCATCTGGGCAGGCATCTCTACAGCTTCTCCAGGGATCTTCTGAAAGGTTGGGTTTTGTTGAGCCAAGGAGTCCTTCTCATTTGAGGCCACTGACTTTCCCTTCTCCAGTGAGTCGCTGTCCCACCTTGAAGGCGCCCGAACATGGCTATCTCAGCTGCACTTCAGCAGGGAACAATTATGGTGCCGTCTGCGAATACCAGTGTGATGGAGGCTACGAACTAGAGGGTACCCATTCACGGATCTGCCTGTCCAGCCGCCAGTGGTCTGGTTCTCAGCCCAGCTGCACCCGTGAGTAAATCTGGGATCTGAGACAAAGGGGGCCATGCAGAACGACACGAAGGGTTCTCGGTGATTCAATTTTAAGAGCCTGAATTCAGCTCTAATCCTGCTCTCATCTTCAGCCTGTTGCAGAAGTCCTGACAGCACAAAAAGCAATCAAGCCATGCCCCAAAGGTGCTTTTTCAGGAGGCAGCTGGACTTGTTTTTCTTGGAAGATCTTTCACTTCTCATCCAAGAAGCTTTTTCAGCTCAAATGTTCAGAAGCTTCTTGGATGAGAAGCGAAACGTCTTCAAAGAAAAACAAGAAAGTCCAGTTGCCTCCTGAAAAAAGCACCTTTGGGACAACCATGACCTGGATGACTGAGACTCTCCATAGAAATCAAGCCAAGCCAAAACCGATGGCCTCAAACGGGTCGAATTTCATTCCTCCTGCCAGCTCGTGCTCTTTTTTTCAAAAAAATAAAATAAAAATGGTTTGTTGGACAACTCAACACTAAACCACCACTAACAAACAACGGTGGCTTTTGGTTTGCTTTCCCACAAAAGCTTTCCCTTCAACACAGCACAGCTAGTAAAACATTTTTGGATGCCATTCGGATTAGAGCCATTCGGATAACTGACATGGAACAGTGGAAGGAAACATGAAAGGAACAAAATAATCAACCCCCGCTTTGTCCTTTTTCCCCCAAGCTATGCAAATCAACGTGGACGTCAACTCGGTCACAGGACTTTTGGATCAGTTTTATGAAAAGCGCCGGCTGCTTGTTGTCTCGGCTCCTGACTCCTCGGACCGCTACTACAAGATGCAGAACGCCATGTTGCAAGTAAGGCTGACCAGGGAGTGGGTCCCTTCCAGCTATGAGTTTATGATCTTCCCCGTTCCCTGCTGTCTTCCAGAGCCCGTAAGCTCTGAGCTGCTATATTGCTCGTTTCTCCATTGCAGCAAGCGACCTGTGGGTTGGATGTGCGTCACATGACTGTGATCGAACTGGTGGGCTTGCCACCTCATGACGTGGGGAGAATCCGAGAGCTCCAACTCTCCAAAAAGATAGTTGAAGAACTGAGGTGAGTGGGAACCAAACTACGACAAAATATGCCCTGTATAGCCACAGGAACCAATTAGAAATCTCATTCGCCATCCTTCAAGTTATCAGAAAAGTGAGAACTTATCAAAAAGCTTTTTTAAAAAAAATGAGATGGTACCAACATTACATAATATTTGTAGCTCAGGGTTAAACTGAGTTCTTGGTGCTCTCTGAGCTTGGTCATTTTCTTGCAGATGTTTCGTTATGCAGCTAGGTAACCTCTTCAGATGTTCTTCAGATGTTTCCTAGTTGAGTAATGAAGTGTCTGCAGGAAAACAACCAAGCTCAGAGACCATCAGGGACTCCTACACATATGGTATAATCAACTTATGGAATTCCCTGCCACTAGATATAGTGAGAAAGGTTGAAGTGAGAAGACCACTCAAGAAGAACCACATCTGGCTCTCCAAAAGGGTGCAGTCTATTTTTGTTCCAGTCCAGCTCAAGGAGCATTTCTCAGTCTTGGCAACTTCAAGAGATGTGGACTTCAAGTCCCAGATTGCCCCAGCCAGCAGGTCTATGATGTCCACATATTCTGTGCTGTCCACACATCTTAAAAGTTGCCAAGATTAAGAAACCCTGTTTGAGAGAGCAGCCCATCCAGGGGATCCAATTTGCCTTTAATCTAAAAAACAGGCAAGGCAGATTTCTGGAGGATAAGACACAAAATTTGGCTCAGCCTGCAGGCACTGCTTGAGGAAGGACAAGAGGAACAAAATAGCCAGGTCTGAGACACACACACACACCCCCGCCTCCAGCAACTGAATTTTGCCAGCAACATCTTCTCTTGATAGTTTGCCACCTTCTCTAAGTGTTCGTTGAGCAAAAGAGCAACTGGCCTAATCAATATTTCTGTAAAACCTTTTTTCTGCAGGCAGCTCCTACACCTCACTCATTCTCGCTTCAACGTAGTGTTGATCGACAAATACGGCGTAGACCGTGACCGCTACATTCAGCCAGTGACGCCTGAGGAGCTGTTCTCCTTTGTGGATATGTACTTGCTGAGCACCCAGGAACAGCTACAGAAAGAACAGAACAGGGACACGTGCGAGTGAGAAGCAACTGCCTAGTTGCCTTCGGCCACCCACTTCAACCAGGTGGCCTTGTTTCACATTAGCCTTGGTTAGGGGTTGAAACCAAAAAGCAACAGTTGGATTTCAGCCAAGGTGGCAGCAGAAGTTTCTTTTCTGATCCTGTAAGCAGGAAACCAGCGTTCTTATGCCTGGTTAATATCTATCAATCTTGGAGGCACTATTCCAAAGGAGATGCTTTCTCAAATCTACATTTTTTCCACAAAGAGCACTTAAGACTCTTGTTGCCTGGATCATAATTCTCTTCCCCTCCTAAAGCAGGAAGTCGATGGGCAGACGTTGATGGGTTTGGTCTCCATTTCCCATCAACCTCAGCCAGCAGGAGCAAGGATTTCCAGAGTTGTGGTTTCACATCTAGAGCACATCAGCGCAAGACCAGCTCTAGCAATGAGATAACTGAGATAACCGGTGAAGAACAAGATCTTCTGAATTGTCCTTCCTGCTCTCTTCTTAGCTCGGCTCTTCTTTGGGCACATGCCCCAAAGAGAGGGCTCACCAAAAATTAAGTGAGTTTAATTACAAACTCACTTACAAACTAAGTGAGTTTAATTACAAACTTTGTTTTTATTTTTTAACCTACCATCCTGGTCAGTTATAAGCCAACGTTCCTGAATTTGGGCTCTTCAATCAGAGATGAACCAAGACTAAAATCACAGCTTCTTAAAGTAGTCAAGCTTACTACTACTTAAAAAAAAAAAAGATTTTGCAACTTGGATATGATGTCAGGGGAAGAGACCTTCAAAGAGACCGAGTGGAAAGCAGGGAAGCAAATCTAGTTACGTGAGCTTATTTTGCTACGAGAATATCAAGGCTACAGGCAGAAGAAAACCAGTGCAAAAGAGAGGCTTATAGCCCAACCTTTCCAAGATGCTTCTCCATAGCAGTACCGACAACATAGCATGGACTTCCCAGAGACCAGACTGACTTCTCCCCCCAGGCTAATTTTTAGGAAGTTATCAAAAACAAGAGCTTTTTAAAAGCACATTTCAATAGCTTCACCTGTGCCTCTTGTTATGATTTTTCATTGTTTGGGAGAGTTGAATTGTATGCTTTTTTAAAAAAAATTGGTTGTTTTTATTGAGCATTACAAGATTGAAGGAGGTTAAAAATCAGATAAATCCATGAATTTGTAAGAGCGCTAGCTTTTAAGAGCACTAAGAGGCCCGGTGGTGCAGTGGTTACGTGCAATATTGCAGGCAAAACTTTGTCCGTAGTCTGGCATTCGATCCTGACAGGGCTCAAGGTAGACTCGGTCTTCCATCCTTCCGAGGCCGATAAAATGAGGACCCGAATTGTTGGGGGCCATACGCTGACTCTGTAAACCGCTTAGAGAGGGCTGTAAAGCACTGGGAAGCGGCCTATAAGACTACGTGCTATGGCTATTTTAAAGCACAAAAGGAACAAAAGGGGCCCTTCTGCTCTTGTAGGCGACTCTGCCTCTTTAAGTCTTCAACATCTGCCACATTGGCTGGGTTTGAAGACACTGGAAGACTAACATGTGGAAACCAGAGGATGCCTCCCTGGCATCCTTTAATCCTAGATTAAAAACAGTCTAGGCCAGAAGGCCACTTTCAAGGAAAATATATACATATTAAGAAGGGGGTTTGTGTTCCTACAGACTTTCTCAAGGAAATCAACCCTGACTGTCCTTTGGAAGGGCAGATCCTGAAGCTGAAGCTCAAGTACTTTGGCCACCAAATGGGAAGAGAGGACTTCTTGGAAAAGTCCCTGATGTTGGGGAAGAGAGAAGGCGAAAGGAGAAGGGGACGGCAGAGGGGGAGATGGTTAGATAGTGTCATTGACACAACGAATATAAATCTGGGCAAACTCTGGAAGACAGTGGAGGATGGGGGGGGGGAGAGACTGGCATGCTGTGGTTTGCAAAGAGTCAAACATGACTTAGCAACTGAATACAACAAAAAACAATAACAAGAGCAGCAGATAGTTGAAGGCTGATATAAGATCATAAACCAAGGCTGGCTAGATCAGACTGAAGATGTAATCGTTTCAAAGAGAACAGCTCATCCTTCTTTGGGGCTGCTTCCTAAAACCAGGATTAAGACAACGGGGCTGCTTCTGCTACTGAAGACCGTAGCCATCGGGATGCATTTGTTCTCCATTCATTTACCCTGTCTCCTTTTAAAACCATTTGCTTAATAAATTCTTTTCTGTCTTGGATCCTCCAGTTTTCCACTTCAACGGATAATCCAAGATTTGGGCATCAGACAAGAAAAACAAAGACTTCTTGCTGTGTCTTTTCTTCATATTCATGTAATTTTAGACATCCTTCTACCCCCTTTTTCCCTCCTCCCCTCCTCCCCTTCCAGCACTATAAGCTTTCTTCGTAAGTGGAAAATGCAAGAATGTGATTAGAGCTCCTTTCTGCGGCTTTCCAATTTACAGTAGCCTTTGAAATGCAACGTTCAGGACCGTACGGTAGCCGAGATTTCTAGGCCAGTTGAATTCCTGCTGCTTCTGCAGGACAGATTTGAACTTTATTTCTGTCATCCTTTCCTGCTGGCTAGAGAGCAGGCAGCGGTGACATTTAAAACCGGATGCAAGAAAATAGCTTACATCCAAAGGGCTTTTTTTTTAAAAACAAAAAGAACAAAAAAAAACCAAGGACAGCACAGGAAAGGGAGCAGAAAGGAGAAGGAAAGAGCAGAAAAATTAAAAAAAAATGTAAAGGCACTTTAAGAAAAGAGCACCAATAATATTGCAAAACTTAAGATTCTCCAAAATAAAAAGGCCGCCCAGAAAACATTCCCTTCTTTAGAAGGAGCCTGTCTGAACAGCCATTGCCAAAATTAGCTCCTGGGCTATGGGAGGTGGACAGTTTTGGGCCAGCTCTCCAGAATAGCCGCCTCTTCTTCGGATGGGATTGTCCAAGCAAGTTACGGCTTCGTCTTGATCATGGTGGCCCGAAGAGGAAGGGTTCCTTCTGCCCAGGATCCTGGGTACTTGCGCATTTTTTGCCAAAGGTTTATCTCCTCGCCTGTGGAATCCATCCAGTCCGCTGCCTGGCCGTTACTCATTCCTGCAGAAAGCGAAAGGAAGGGTAAAGAGGAGAAATCAGTACTGGTAGTACAAGAAAGAATGAAATAGGAATAGGAGTAGGAGAAGGAGTGAAGAATGAAATAGGAATAGAAGTAGGAGTAGGAGTAGGAATAGGAATAGAAATAGGAATAGAAATAGTAGGAATAGGAATAGAAGTAGTAGTAGGAGTAGGAATAGTAGTAGGAGTAGGAATAGTAGTAGGAGTAGGAATAGAAGTAGGAGTAGGAATAGAAATAGGAGTAGGAATAGGAGTAGGAATAGAAATAGTAGGAATAGGAGTAGGAATAGGAGTAGGAATAAACAGTGTGGAAGGGACCTTGGAGGTCTTCTAGTCCAACCCCATGCTCAGGAAACCCTATACCATTTCATAGTAACATGGTTGTTAAGTGAATCTGGTTTCCTCATGGACTTTGCTTGTGAGGTGATCACAAAAGGGGATCATATGGCCCTGGGACACTGCAATCGTCATAAATACATGCCAGTTGCCAAGTGTCTGAATTTTGACGACGTGATCATGGGGACGCTGCAACCCTCGGGTGAAAAATGGTCATATGTCACCTTTTTCAGTGCCGTTGTAAGTTCGAATGGTCACTAAAACGAATGGTTGCAAATCAAGGACTATCTATACATGCATACAGGAACACCCCTTTGGACTGAAACTCGGGGGGGGGGGGACACCTGATCCACTGAAGAGCATCAAGGAGGTCCAAGGTAGTGTAAGGATGAAGGTACTGATCTGGCACCAGGGAGGCCTGAGTTCCAGTTCACTCTTAAGACTAGAAGAGCATCCCATCTCTCAGCCCAACTCACAACATTGTTGTTTAGAGAAGGGGAGGGAGGGAGAGGAGAACCTATGTACAAAGGGCAGGATACAAACCGAACCCAAAAATAAAGTCAATACACCTAAAGCCCATTGTAGGTCTGCCAGAGCTCTCAACGTCAGCCCGTTTTCTTTTTAAAGCGCCCCATTCAAGACGTCTGTAAGACTAGTAGAACCTCAACAGATCCTGTTGCTTTCTCACCATTGCCAACTCCAAGCCGGACACCGCCCAAGAAATCATTGCTGGACAAAGGCTCCCGGTCCCACACTGTGAGTTCCAGACAGATGTGGGACAATTGTTCTGCAAAGATGTTATTGTAGACCAAGGTGTGATTGTAGTGGGGATTCAGACTCTTCTTCACCACCGGGGTCTTCTTCTTGGTGGTCCTGTTCTTCAGAGGGAGCAAATGCCTGCAGGCAGGAAGGAGTCAGTGCTGATTTGGGAAAGAGACTCTTACAATTGGCACTTGCCAAAATTAGCTGACCCAGAACCATGGGGCAGAACAGAATGCATCTCCTTGAGAGGTTCTGCTCCAGCTACAACACATTGTTAGTCCTTAAGATCCTGCAGAGAAACTTCTCAATGCTCAGAACAGGATATTTTTCATGACTTCTTCACCCACCCTTTTACTAGCAAACTAAAAGCTGGCAAAGAAACCCTCTGCATAATTTGTGTAAGGTCACAGTGCCCGTGTGTGTGTGTTTTTCTTAAAACAGGAACCGGGGTTTCCATTTCCATTCAATATTCCAGAGTTTACACAGCCTGGAGTCAAAGACATTCATTCAACCTTTGAGAATGTGCAATGACCACTGTGACAGTTATAGAACTTATATCCGGGCACCCACTATACTACAGGTCGATGTTCAAGACAGCCGCTCCAATCCCCCTCTCCCTTTCTATTTAGCACTCATTTAAAAGCCTCTTCCATTGCTCACCCTTTCACAAAACTGTCCGAGGTCCCGCCAGATTTGGCTGCAGTCAAGTTCTTGGCTTCTTTGATCCAGACTTGAAGTTCACCGCCTTCTTCCTTTTTGCCTAACAAAAGACCTTTGAGTGACAACTTCAAAACAAAACCATCCAAAATAGGTTTCCTTGTACCCAGGTGACTATTTACACTCCTAACTA